TAGCTAGAGAAAGACCAGCCCTTTCCCCCACTTCCCCTTCGGCCTTGTGCCACAATTTTGTATTTTTTTTACAAAATAAATATACTCCAAATGGTATCCTGCAATAATTGATAAGTTTATAGCTGACAATTCACTCTCCCATACATTTGCCTACTTAGACATTATAACTACCTGTGATAAGAGCCCGGAAAAGCACGATGAAAATCTCGATAAATTTACGGAAGCGGCCAAGAAATACAATTTAATTTACAATCATGAAAAATGCTCTTTCTCTGACTCTACAGTGAACCTACTAGGCTATACAATATCGAATGGTACAATTAAACCAGATCCCGAGAGACTTCGACCGCTTAAAGAACTTCCCCTTTCTCGCGATATTCATTCTCTTCGTCGTCTGATGGGAATGTCCTCTTACTATTCCCAATGGATTAGTAAGTATTCTGAAAAAGTTGCCCCCCACTCATACAAGCTAATCGTTTTCCACTACCCAAGACTGCTGAAAAAGCCTTTGAATACCTGAAAACTGAAGTCGAAAACTTACTAGTGTATTCTATCAACGAAGCTGTTCTTTTCACCGTAGAGACCGATGCTTCGTGCCACACGATTGCAGTCTCATTAAATCAATCAGGTAGACCCGTAGCTTTCTTTTTAAAAGCATTGAGTACCAGCGAACGTAAACACACTTCTATAGAAAAAGGAAGCCCAAAGCTATCGTAGAGGCCTTACATAAATGGCGGTACAATTTAACAGGACGACCCTTCACTTTACTTACGGATCAGAGATCAGTGGCATTCATATTTGATTCGAAACATGCTGGAAACATAAAAAATGATAAAATCCAAAGGTGCAGGGTCGAACTTGACTGCTACAGTTTCGATATTAAATACCCGTCCAGGGAGAGATAATGTCACATCATCTAGAGCTTATTGTTCAGCTGTAAGTTTGGACAACCTAAAGAAATTACACAACTCTCTTTGTCACCCTGGTGTTACGCGAATGATACATTTTGTTAGGACTAGGAACCTTCCTCTTTCTGTGGAGGATGTGAAGAGAGTATCTACTGTTTGCCCTGCGTGTGCCGAAGGCAAACCTCGATTTTACCGACCTAAAGCTGTGCATCTAATAAAAGCAACCATGTCTTTTGAAAGGCTCAGCGTTAACATCAAAGAACCCCTGCTTCTTCTCGAAATCGGTTTCTATTTACATTAATAGACGAATATTCTCGCGTCCCATTTGCTTGTCTTGATATGTCGCCGCAAACAGTCATCCGGTGCTTCACCCAACTCTTTGCTATCTGTGGTATGCCAATATGCGTGCCTTCGGACAGAGGTTGTAGCTTCATGTCCGCTGAGGTGAAATCCTTCTTGCATGGGCACGAAATCTCAACTAGTCGTACCACTCCTTATAACCCCCAGAGTAATGGGCAATGCGAAAGGTATAATGGTGTTTTGTGGAAAGCAATAACTTTGGCACTCAAAACTTAACGCCTACCTATGGGAGAATGTTCTGCCAGATGCTTTACATTCAATGCACACACTTCTTTCAACAGACACGAATGCTACACCTCATGAACGACTATTCAACTATCCTCGCCGAACCTCCAGTGGCTATTCTATTCCAACAGGGCTAACAACACCAGGAAAGGTTCTTCTGAGACGACATGTCAGACAATCGAAATACGACCTATTGTGGGAGGAGGCGGAAATTATAGAAGCCAATCCTCGTTATGCAAACATTTGTCTTCAAAACGGCAAAGAAATCACAGTATCACTACGAGATCTCGCCCCCGCTAGTCTCGTTCAGAACTGTTCTCCTGAAATACAAGACTCTGACTTACCCACTCAAAACTTTGAGACCTTAGACCCCTAAAAGACTGAATCTAGTACAGATACACCAGAAAATGAAATTTTACACACACACACACTTATATATATATATTTAAAAAACTCTAAAATTTTCGAATCCGAAAGGTTAAACTGTTGAGTAGATTATTCACAACATTTGTGACATCCTGCAGAGGTTTCTGTACATGCAGATGCATCTGAATTCTACTAATATTTTATCAGAATCCCAAACTAGTGAGTGCTTATTTCTGCTCTTATTAAATTAAGGCAAACCAACTTTGCACAATTGCTTACTTGTAGAGTTACGTGCTTCATCATTCTCTCGGCTTATCATCTGTGAATAATTGAAACATCATTCTTTAAAATACTTTGCCTCACGCACCAAATTACTTTCAGCTAATGTTTTCTATTTACTTTTCACATTCCTGAGTTAATCCAAGCTTCAAGTGTCAATAACATTTAATTCCTTTATGGATGAGCTAAATGGTAAACGTGTTCAACTGAAATTTATAAGCAACATTTTTTTATTCCCATCTTGCACGGTTAACATCTATAACTACAAGAACATCTTAAAATAACGTTTAACAATGATATTAAATTTCAAGTCAAGAGAGCTTGATCAATCTTACAATTTGAAATAAATACTTTGCCATAAAAAAATTCCCTCTAAGGAATTCAGTTTAGGAGCCCACTTATATCTTTCTGTCACCATTCAACATTTAAAAGCATAATTTTAAAATTCCTGTTAAATCATTATTTACACTATGTGCATGGTGCCTTGTATTTACATTTTATGGACGGTGGGCGCGGAAGTTGATGTATTGTCCGGTGATGGTTGGCTTGTGATATACGAATGTTTTGAATCTATTCTCTGTGCGATTTTTAGTACATCCAGGAAGGCTAGCTTATTATTATTTTCTTCTTCCATTGTGGACCGAAAGTCTTAATGAGTTCACATAGTCGAGCAGTATTTGTACAGCTTCCTGGTACAGTGTGAAGAAAGTGATCGTTCGATGCCTACAACAGCGGGAAAAGATAATAAATGGCGACCCAGATACATACCAATAAAAACTGATCAGCATCAAGGATAAATTTCAAAATAATAAGAGTACCCTGCAAACATAGGATCAGCGCCTGGAGGTGGAAACCGAAAGATTAAAAGGAGGAAGACCAGGAGATTGGCACACGGTTTGTCTCTGCTTTACGTCAAGGGCTTATCGGAAAAGATTTAGAATATCTATGGTCCATACAACATCAGGAAAATATTCAGACGTAACCCCACTGTACGGAAAAATCTCTCCCGACTAAAGCCTAACACGGGCAAGAACGTGGCCAAGAACTGTGTTTACTCCATTCCATGTAGTTGTAGAAAAGAATAAAAAGGTAGAACAACCCGCCTCCTAAAAGTAAGGCTGGAGGAACATCGAAAAACAGCGTGAGACAATAAAATCGAACATGGATTATCATGTATGGAGGGAAATGGAATGAAGCGAAAATACAGGACAACGAAGAACCCTGGAGAGTTAGACGTCTGAAAGAATCAGCGCAAATGCTAAATTATGAAGACCTATTTAGTAGACCTAAATACAATATGTGAGCCGTTAATAAAGAAAGAAAGACAAATGACAAGTCTTCAACAGCAACACCAGCTGTCAAACAGCATCAGAAAACCAACAGCACTGGGCAGCAGGCAAATTATGTTTAAGGCCTAGTGGATTAAAGCGTTGATTTGGGAATTTGATGACATCGTACTTGGACTCAGTGGAAACGAGTGAGCAATAAGTAAGCAGTACTAAAAAATAAAAAACCAGACAAGATATATGTAGATATGAGCTGTGGAATGACAACAGTCTAAATCCGTAGATTAAATAAAGCATTCAGTTCGGAATTCTCTGTAGGTTACCCAGATCAATATACACTTGATGAAGTCCGGAGGATATAATGATCAAAACGTTGTGGTAACAACAACAAATGAGACCAATAGTCTGAATGTAAATAGTTGAAATAATGATAATTCCTCATCCCAGAAATTCAGATAGAAATTATCAAATCCTGTTAAATCGTTTGATATTCATCTATAAGTCATTTTATGCTAATCTTTATTTTATATTTGCTTTATGTTTTTCATTATCTCAGAATATTCCATCCGCACTAACTCTGGTATTTTTTCAGAACTGAATTGTCTTAGAGAGGAAACTTTAAGAAGTTCTGATGAAGAATGCGAAAATTAATATGCTTATATTACATCAATTTGCAATTTCAGAAAAGAAACGCCACCTTTCAATTTAGTCAACTATTATCTATTTACTATATTTTCCTCAATCTCTTTAAGGCATTCCGATTTATTCCATCCGACAATTATGTATTTCTTGGCTTTCTCTGAAATTGCTTTCAACCTGAGAACTCGAAAAATTTTCAGTAATCAATGGTAAGTCACTTTGCTCATTTTTTGAAACAAAAAATAATAACATTGATTTTAATTGAATTATTATTGAATTATTAAGCGTACTGCAAAACGCCAAACGTGTGAAGTACCTGAACTAATTTTCTTTTATAATAAATATATCTTTATGACAGCATAGACATATTTTAATTGTCTTCAATCCTTTCAGAAGTAATCTGTCGTTAATTTAAATAAAAAGCTTTGTATAATAGTCACTATGGTGACCTCAAGTTCTATCAAAAGAATTGAAACCAAGAGAATTTGATATAACGGTTGCTTGTCATCATTTCACTAAAAGGCATAAAAGCATATACAAGAACAACATAATTTAACTTTACGAGTATGCCAAGAAATGGTTTCTTACTCATTTATTCACTCACAATGCACGCATACGAATCCTCACACACACTCATACACACACACACACACACACTCATACACACACACACACACACTCATACACACACACACACACACACACACACACACACACACACACACACACACACACACACACACACATACACACAATGCATATCGAAAAACAGATAAGGTAAACACATTCATTTTGAAATATTAATTTAAAGACTTCTTGTTAAAAATATGAAAATCTAAATAGTAAACAATGTTATTTCATCTTTTTTCTAAATCTTTGTAGAGTATTTATCCTTCTTTTTCTATTTTATTTGTTTCTTTTTTCTTGTTATACTTACTTTTGTTTGATCTTCTTAACTTTGATTAGCTTATAAGGTACTCCAGTCTCTGTGACCGTACTTTGGTCCGCTAGTCGGTACCATCCTTCTTGCGTATTAATATATGTCGGTGTCAGTACAATGGACACCAGAATTTTTACCTGGAAAATACAGAAGAAATAAAATTAATCTTTAAAAGCATGGAAATAATCACGGAATATACAAAATATTCTTCTGTTAAAAGTTTTCTTTTACTTCGTAAATACAAATGTAGATATTCAAACAGATTCAACTAAATCCGGACAAGTACAAAGCGTGAACACTTTCTTTTTGTTATCATGCAAGCGTAATCCATAAGAATACTGCAATCATCACCAAACTGGTTACTATTCGTTTAATCTTTTTTCAAAGTGATCTTCAATATCCACTGTGGGATTTCCAAATTATGCATGCGTCAAAGGAAGCGAAATATTTTCCTGTTGTATTGGTTGCAAAATTGTCTCGGTGACCTCAATAATGAATTTCACCTTCAAATGGTTCTTTTAAAATATTTCTTGAGTTGCGGTAAACTTATGATAACATTATTTTGTTTCTATTCATTTCAAACTTTTCGACATAATTAACCTTTTTTTGTTGCTTGTATCTTGATAATCAATTTCCTGAAAGTGCGGGTAAACAGAAACAAGCAAAAAACAGATACAGATTTTTTTTTACCACCTGATTTTGAGAAAATATTTAAACTTAATATGTAAAGAACAACAGCAAAAAAAAGTAATAACAATATTAATAATCATTATTGGCAAAATTTCAATAATTAGACCCCGATTGTCATATAGAACTGATAAATTTTAATCAAAGGACAAGAAATTGATTAGCTTGTCTCAGAAATAATATTCATAGAATTTATGTGAATAGAAGGTGGAAGAAAAGATTAGTATTGAAAGGTTTGTCTATCAAAGGATTAACTGATTATAACAGAAATGACAGGACGAGAAATGTTGGGTTTAAAACATGAAAACATTTAGAAGCTAAAATGGAAGGAAAATCAATTTCATGGCGATTTTAAGGGAAAACTTGGATGTTGGTGTTCCATGAGATCAGAGGGTGATGAAATGGGAAAATACCTGGATCTTACATCACATCTAGGATCTGGTAGTTATCGGAGCGATAAAATCAATGCAAAAGAGCCTTGTAAAATGTAATGACTTTAAAATCTGAGGAAGAATAGAAACCACCCCAAAAAATAGAATTTCCAAAATCAGGTAGAATACTGAGGAGAATTGTAAGATGTGCTGTTAATTGATCTCGAGTAAATACTACAAGTTATGACTGTTGCGAAATTACAACGAGATGATTATAATAAACAATAGTGTTCATGTCATTAAATGCGCATAGCGTCATAAAATCTAAACTCAAAGGCAAACGTCAATATGAAAGTGAAATAATGAATATGCATTTAACACATACGACGTCATTAGTTTGTACAAAGATTGCCATTATCATAAAACTCCCTTGGCTGAAAACATTCTTCACATAATGTTAGTTATTTGATAATAAAAAGGTCGACTATTTATGATGACTTACGGTAACTTGAGCGACGTGGGTGTCTGTATTATTTTTGATTATATTAATGAGGGAATTTCCGCTTCTGCATTATTGCTTTCATCCCATTTCTCTCCACACACACACACACACACACACACACACACACACACACACAAGCATATACAAACACACACATATGTGGGTGTTACTAAGGTACAGAATCTGAACAAAAGTGGAGAAATCAAACAAAATGGAAAAAACTTTTTTTACTGACAACGCGTTTCGTCTTCATTAGGTCATTAAGTAGGCATCTTCAGGTCATTCATTCTGATCTGAAGATGCCTACTCAACGATCTAAAGGAAGCGAAACGCGATATCAATAACAAAAATGTTTCTCTTTTGTCTAACATACATACATACATATATATATATATATATATATGTGTGTGTGTGTGTGTGTGTGTGTGTGTGTGTAATAGTATGTGCATATATATAGCTCGGATGAAATGGTTGAAATGTGAATTTCGTTTTCCAGTATTTCATTTTACATGAGAGAGAAAATGTGAAACAACGTAATCCACAAACCGGCAAACATTTGAGCATTTGTAATGGAAAAAGTTTTATTAGAAGAAAATATCAGAATATACAAAAATGTGAATCAGGGAATAAATTTATTTTTATAGATAGTTTATCATGTTAATTACAATTATGAAACAAAATTGGGTCATGAGAATGTTAAATTTCAAATCACGTTTTCACGAATTCACTATCGAATTTATAGAATTGTCAATTCAGTAAAATTAAAAGCTTTACGTGTGTAATATACCATGGCGTTCCCCCGCCCCTTCCCGGTCAGCCTTTTACCGACGTGTTTTGATTGACGTTTGCGTTGGAGTGAACGAAAACTGAGAAAAAAAAACAGTCAAAAAAGGGGAAACGAAGACAAGATATCGTCACGGCGAAAAAAAAACACGAATCTTTTTTCAATATACTGAGTTCTTTATTTATACATTCACCTGACATGTAGTTGACACTTGAGACATTTTAGCTGCTACATGTCTTCTTTCACGACCCTAATGGACCAGATCTTACTTTCAGCCAGAGAGCACATCGACTGCCTCTTATTCTACATCTCTCTTTCTCTCTCTCTCTTTCTCTCTCTCTCTCTCTCTATGTATCTCTATCGCTCCCTCGCTCTCACACTCTCTCTATTGTCTGCTGTCTTATCGCTCCTCTTCCCATCTCTATATCATGACACCAAAAGAACAGTTTCTTTCTCAGGTCCCTCCGACAATTCTATCACTGTCCATTCTAGAATGCGGTCTGATTATATAAAGACACGACCCGAAGTCCCTACTTTCTACTTAAGTGTTACTTGATCCCAAAATAATTTTATTTATTTTTATTCCCTATTTCCATACTTGCGGATAGCAGGTGATTTCTTTAAAGTTCTCATATCTAGACTTTACCTTATCATAAAACACTACAATATTTCAGGCCCAGATAAACTCATTTAGAACCTGTACTTGATTGGTGTGGGTGTGGTAAGCCAATCTAACAGGAACCAATTGTGTCATACATGAAAGAAATATTTTGTCCCGACCAAATAAATGTTTTTTTTTTTTCATTCAACTTTGGTTTGTAATAGACAATGTAACTAGACAAGCAATTAATCTTAAAATAAATCCCTCTTCATCTTCAGGCATTTCTATTCTACAAAGGGGAAGGAATTCATCTTCAGTCATTTATTCTCCAAGAAAACAATCAGAAAGTTTTTTGAACACATTTATTTAGTATTTTCAGATCGTTGAAGACAAAGTGATCGGGGTTTCGATTCAGTGAATATCCTAATTATTTCAGACGGAAATAAATTGCAAGATTAAGGTCTAATCAAATCGATGAAGCGTAAATTAAAGGTGAGTCAAGAATGAAAGGCTAGATTATTTTAGGGTGAGTGCAAACTGAAAGCCGATTATTTTTATTGATTATAAACATTTGAATATTTTGTTTTGAATATTTTGTTTTAACAAAAATTCATAGGTACAAGAAAAAGAAAAATTCATTAAAATCCAGTGAAAGAGAGAATAGATTGATTTTAATGAAATGAAATTGATGAAGATGTTAGTTTAAAAACAGCGAACACACACAAACATGAATATATATTTGCGTGTTTTCACTGTGTCACATTGACATTTTCTGACCTTGATAGTATTTGCATGTGTTATGTACGTGTGTGCGTTTTCGTATATGTGTATGTGTATGCATGTATATATAAAATTTCTACTAGAAAAAGTCTTCTAATAAATTAATAAAATTAAAAAACTATAATAAATATACATTGTGAGTATAATCAAGTAACGATGGGATGACGAGGGAATCTTACACCTATTTAAGGAATCCATTTAAAAATATTAATGTTTTTCACAGGATTATGAACAAAATAAAAATAAAGTGTATATATATATATATGTGTGTGTGTGTGTGTGTGTGTGTGTGTGTGTGTGTGTGTGTGTGTGTGTGTGTGTGTAATTTGATGATTTAAGCTCATAAATGTCCAAATATTTAACTCAAATATGTTTGAGCAATTTTCCATAATCTGATTTTTTGAAAAATCAGGAAGAAATTTATTTGCAAGTTTGAAAAGAATGCAAGTACTCTGACAGATTGAGATTATTAAATGTTAAATGATTTGCTTGCTCCAGAAAATCAGTCACGTAGATTTTTCAAATTGTGTTTATAAAAAAATAGATTTTCTTATACTGAAGTAGAAAATATGCATGCATACGATGATACGTATAAATTGTATATTTGTATATATATGCATATTTATTTCTAAAGCAAGAAACACCTGATGGAAAGTGCACATCCATAAATGTGTGTGAAGACGATTGTGTACATCATTGACAAGCCAATTGTATTGGCACACGCTGTCATTGTATGACAGAGAGAGAAGTTTCTCCGAGAGCATCCTACCCCATAATGAGCTTCGTTGTCGTGCAATACTAACACTGAAAACCTAAAAAGCACAACTTGGTTATGGACAAGCTTGGGATTATATTTTTAATATCTTCCATTTCTATTTTTCCTTTAATTCTTTCCCATTTTCAATACATCTTTTCGTTTTTTCTTTTCCCTAAAAAAACGCTATAAAGAAAATAATGAGGTCTTGTTTAGCCACATGTCGTAAGTGTCATACATAAAATCATACCGTTATAGTTGCCAATGATCAATGGTCAAGAGGGTTAAGTAAGATATCCCACAGCTCGATAATAGCCAACAAGTGTGAAATGATACCAACTTCCATCAAATACACACAAAAAGACGCAATCATCAGGCCTGATTATTGCGTTTAGCATGAAACAATCTGTCTCCTCTGAGTGTTGACTTCAATGTTCATTTATATATATATATATATATATATATATATATATATATATATATATATATATATATATATATTTTTCGATAAACGTGCAATCAATTTACAAATTCATGAATTATTCACACAAAAACAAATGCAAAGGTGAATGATTTAATTGGCGAGAAATCCATCGTCGCAAACAATTCAAATAATATACAAAAACCTTATGAATGAAAAGATCCTTGTTTCCATAAA